TTCATTTTAACAAAGCAAATACAGTATCTATCTTGATGTAAATGATTGACAAAAACTCTCAGTGTGACAATAAATAGATAACAAAACATAAAATCAGTTTCATTTATCAACAACCTTGACACTGATTACAAAAGTATTATTAAAACAAAGGTAGGTAAAAACAAAAACGCATGATGCAACTGCGATAACGTGGGATGAAGAACCCACAATAAGAATAAAACGAAGGAACAACGTAACTTTCAGTATTGATTTCAATAATTGAAACACATTTTTTTAAGTATTGGAACATGGAAGCTCATATTACAATGGGTTTAACGAAATAACACTTATACATGTGAATGTATACTACCGGTACCCTGGTACCCTCGTATGTATGAAAAGGTTACATTTTGGGTGCATGAAGGGATGATCAGGGCGACTGTGTTTGATGCATTTATTGGCAAGATACAAAGAATAAGAACTATTTAATAATACTACAATATGCATTTTAGAGATGTTATAATACTTCCATTTAAAGTGTACACACACGATTAACCTGTTATTGTTTACATAGAAAACGACATATAAAAAATGTTTTCATTAATTTTGTGAGTAAGAACAAAAATTATGAATTTTTGTAGCAGTGAAATTCTAACTGGAGTTCTGAAAACACATACAGAGTTACAAGGAAATGTTGTCTTTTTTAACACTAATAAATTGCCTAATTAACTAATTAATTGCAGCAAAAAATTAAATAGCTAACAATAATTTAGTTATGGCCTAATAAACCTTTCAGTTTAAATGGGTGTTCTTTTTGTAATGCACACCAATACAGCCAATTTCATAATTCAAAACCATCTCAGATGCAATGCAACTCAATAAATAGTATATAACAGATGATTTCCTTTATTTTTATGTTCATGAAATGTTTTTTGTTCTTGAATCAAGAACAGATTATGGATTACATGAATTCTATACACAAAGTATAATTACTTTACACTGAGTGTTGTGTTAAGAATGTGCCAACATTTCTATTTCATGGTTACCTCACACAAACTTTATATGCATCAAACCGACTACAAAGACACACACTGTTGTTATTAAAGAAATACAATCCTCTTTGTCTTCCAGTAAAGGTGTACTTCTATAGTAAAAGAAAACATAGTTGAACTCTGGTGACCTTGCCCTTTGTTATATAATATAATTCCCTTTATCATAGTTTGTTTCAATATAAATATGCATTGTCATAATTAATTTTGAATACAAACAAGTTTTGGGGTTGAACCAACAGTGGGGAATCAGTCTACCGAATGTCCTTAAAAGATGTAAATATCTTACAAAAACATTGGTGCCTTATTTGTTTAATTATTTTAAGGAACATAATTTCCAGCTTTATTGAAAGTAATTGAGATATTTTAGAATAAAAACAAATGTCTCATTGCAAAAAAAAAAAGTGCTGCATTTAGATGTGAATAGATTCATAAAA